CAGCTCAGAGCCTGCTTCGGATTCTGTGTCTTCCCCCTCTCTCTGCCCCCACTCACCCTCTGTCTCTCTCTCTCAAAAATAAATAAACATTAAAAAGCAAAACTACCTTCCTTTGGATAACAAGGATTTCTGGCAGTAAAATACCCCCATTAAATTGACACAGGTCCACAGGAGTTTAATAAGATCCAAACAGGAAGTACTAAGGGTCATTTCAAAACCTTTAGGTTGGTGACAACCAATATAGTTCCCCCTGGACAAGACCTTGCAGGGACTACTTGAACCTATGCCCCAAAGGTAGCTTTAGTAGCTTTAGAAAACTAGTCTAGAATGTTTAGAATTTATTCTAGAAAATCGGCAAAACCTTTTTTTAGAACAGCTGTTTATTTGGAAAAAATTAGTAAAAATTAACTTTCACTTTGTTGGATACCCTAGGAGTTGTTGTCGGCCTTCGAAAATCTGAGTCGGGCCTAAGCAGAGCCAACAGGCCTTGAGCAGCTGCTGCCAGTGGCACCAGGAAACAGGAAACTGAGGAACAGAGACATAAAATACTTTGCCCGAGGTCAACCATGAAGGACATAATAGAACTAGGAATTGAACCAAAGTGCCTCTCTCTTCACTAATCAATCTGCTTCCAAGCCAATATGATTCACGTTTCTATTCCGTGATATTTTATAGAGTATCCCAATTTCACTGTCATCACAGCCCTATACGAGCCATATTGACAGGGAAAAACCTGTTATCAGACGGCTAACAGGACTGATGGGGGGATTCTAGTCCCTGCCCAAGGACTTCCATTCCGGGTTTTCCTTCCCGCCCCGCTTGGGGGGGGGGGGGGACAGACTATAAATTGTCCCCTGTGGCCTGTGCTGATCCTCAGCGCCCGCCCCTCTGGAGAGTGGTCTCCTCTGAGCCCCCCGGTGTAAAAAACATAAACCTCCTGCCTCCCAAGATCTCCGAGTGCCTCTTGGTTCCTCTGCCAGGTGATGCGGACCAGATTCTGTAACAATATCATCTCCGTTTTTACATGTGAAGAAAATGAGACTGTGAACTAACATAGCTTGTTCAAATTCACAAAAACCAGGAAGACATAAAGGAGAAAGATCAACAGTTCGGTGCAATCTCAAAGCCCATATCCCACCAAGAGAGCAGAAATAGGTTGTATTTAGAAGAACAAGGTATCAAGGAAATGGTAACTGAGTGAACCCCAGCTCTAAATGAACATATTAAATGATCACATGCGAACTTTCATAAACTAGCCCCCGAGGCTACAGGGGATTTTTAATGACTCTACACATTGTCAGAAAGGGGTGCCTAGGTGGCTCAGTTGGCTAAGCATCTGACTCATGGTTTCAGCTCGGGTCATGATCTCATGGCATGATAGGGAAAATATAGGATAAAATAGGCAGGGAGGGAAAGGTTAGGACCTGAGGTTCCTGGGTGGAAAAAACCACATATTTTGGAACAGTGCTGGGAGCGTCTGACCCCAGCAAACTCCCTCAGGTCTAAGGCTTCTGTTAAGAATGTAACAGACAGGGGCGCCTGGGTGGCTTAGTCGGTTGAGCGTCCGACTTTCGCTTGGGTCATGATCTCGCGGTTCGTGGGTTCGAGCCCCGCGTCGGGCTCTGGGCTGACTGCCAGCTCAGAGCCTGGAGCCTGTTTCAGTCTGTGACACCCTCTCTCTCTGACCCTCCCCTGCTCACGCTGTCTCTCTCTCTCTCCTAGAAATAAATAAAAACATTAAAAAAAAAAAAAAAGAATGTAACAGACAACGACCTCCTCCTCCTCAGGTTCCCCTCAGGAATTGACAGTCAAAATACCTAACTAACAGAAGTAAACCATAAAACTTATGTTATACGAGGGACAGTATGACCACAGTCTGACTCCTCACACAATGGAATCAAGCCAATCAGGAATGGACAGCCCAGCACCTAGAGTTAGCAAGCCAATAGGGATGGAACCTGAGGAGAAAGAAGGGGGAAATGATGTGGGGGACCAACTGGAACCTTCTAAATCAAAGACCCTTGCCTATGGTCAAGGGCATTCACTTTCAAATGTCTCCTCTCTGCAAAGAGAGCTGCCATACTATTCTTAACTTTCTAATCTTATACTCTAATAAAAATTGCCAGCTGCACATTTTCACTTCTCACATTTTCACATCCCACTTTTTTGTTCTTCAAACCGGGGAGACAACAAACCCTGGGGATTGAGGTAAAGAATCCTGCAAAACTGGTCCCTCAGATCAAGCCCCTCATTGGACTCCGAATTAACATCACAAAGCCTGCTTGCCCTCTTTCTCTGTCCTTCCCTCGCTCACTCATTCTCTCTCTTTTTCTCTCAAAATAAATATTTTTAAAAATTATCAGAAAATATTGTTTTTATTTTAATCCAAAATGTACACGCGCACATCAGACTTGTCTTTCCCTATTCCATTTTATAATCAGAATTCTCTCTTCCTTTCCTCCATCCCTCCCTCCCTCTCTCTGTCCGGCTCTGTCTCTGTGCTCTGTCTCTGTCTCTCCTTCCCTCCCTTCTTTCCCTTTCTTTCTCTCTTCTTCCTCCTTTAAATTCTGGACAAAGGAGTTGTATAAAAAGGTTACAAAGTTTCCTGCTTCCCCCTAGTGGTATTATTCTGGAAGTGGAAGTCGCATTGGGAAAAACAGCTAATCTTTACAGAAAATAGAAATAAAAGGACACTTAGACTCCCTTAAAGTGTGTGGAGACAGGGAGCCAATTGGATGAGCGGAAAGAACCTGCGATCACGGACACTCTATTTAACCTCACACAGCCTCCGGAAATGCACGTGTGATGTGGAAATTAAACTGTCTCCTCACAGTTGTCTTGTGGGTTGAGATAATATACTAAAAAAAGGGTCTTGAAACACAGTACACTCCCAATAAAAGGTAACAATTATTTAGTTTTGACGGCTCTATAAGGTAGGAAACTGAAGCTCAGCACAACTTGCTCTTCGTCTTTTTTCAATTGTTTATTTATTGGGTGGGGGGTGGAGCAGGGACAGAGAGAGATGGAGAAAGAGAATCCCAAGCAGGCTCTATGCTGTCAGTACAGACTCTGTCAGCGCAGAACCCTATGCGGGGCTTGATCTCATGAACCTGGAGATCATAACCTGAGCCGAAATCAAGAGTCCGACGCTTAACCCACTAAAGCCAGCTTCCTTATTCTTGAGCCAGCCAGCAAGCTGTAGAATTAAGCCCATAGTCCAAGTTTTCAGACTCTAGGGTTGTTCATCACACTTCCATCTCCCAAATTAATAGTTGACAATGAGGAAACAAAGATTTTAAGAGTCTTAAAGGGATATCTATTTTACCGTGTTTTCCACTAAGTCCATAAAATATGCATTTCAGTGATCTGCGGGCACATCTCCAGAATTGCACTTAAAGTTACAAGAAGAGAAGCACACAAAGATGTGTGTCTGAAACAGGCTCACAAATCATTACTTGCAATAGCACAAAGTTGAAAGCAAGCTAAATATAAGATATTTATTCAATGAGCCTTGGTACAAATAATGATAATTTTATTTATTTATTTAATTATTCATTCGTTCGTTCGTTCGTTCATTCATTCATTCATTCATTCATTCATTTGATTGATTTCTCAGGGCCAGAAGCTGTTTTAAGAATTAAAAACAGATTAAAGCGTTCAATGAGGTAGGTACCATTATGTTCCCTTCACTGATCTGTCTGTTTCTGAGACAGATCCCTGGGTCCACTCCATATTTCATCACATGGTAGCACCTATGGTGGAAGACTGTGCAGCTATGGAAAAAAAGTCATATTTTCAATAATTATTAAACTATATGGAGATGTGCTTACATTAAAAATGTTAAGGGAAATAAACAGGATGAAAAATTCAGTCCTAAGTGTGTGTGTCTGAGTCTGTGTGTGACACAAAATCTAAATCTCAATAGTACCCTTGTCCAGGTAATAGGTTATAGGTAATTTTCTATCCTCTTTTATATTTGTCTGAATACTTTGAATTTTCCTCATGAGACAGAATTGCTGTGATCATCAGAAAATTTAGATTACAAACTATTTTAGGGTGCTGAAAAAAATACCATAATTTCATGTTTTTTAAATGTTTATTTATTTTTGAGAGAGAGAGAGAGAGAGAGACAGAGTGTGAGTAGGAGAAGGGCAGAGAGAGGGGGAGTCACCGAATCTGAAGCAGGCTCCAGGCTCTGAGCTATCAGCACAGAGCCCGAGTCTGACTTGGGGCTCGAACTCATGAACTGTGAGATCATAACCTGACCCAAAGTCAGACACTTAACCGACTGAGCCACACAGGCCACCCCCCAAAAATACCAGAATTTCTAAGAACAAGACTTAGTCTCTCTTCACAGTTAAATAATAAAATAGGAAGCATTAATGGGAAAGATCTGCAAGAAAAACAATTACCCCAATGATTGGGAATAGAGGAAACATGTTCAAACTAGAAAGGGAAGTACCCGAGAAAGAGTGTCTAACAGAACACCTGAGCTGCATGAACTTAGCACACTGGACCCTCCTTTTGATTGAGGGCAGCTGTTCAGAGGCTGTCTTCTGACCTTGGTCATAAGGATTCACTATAGCCTGAAAGAGTGTGGATAGGGGATCTGATGCCCTCAGAAGAGAAAACAGAGAAGAGCTGTGACCCCAACAGGTATAATTTCTGGACTGGAGAGTTTCAAGGGTACCATGCAAAAGCGGCAATGAGAGCCTTCTTTTTGACAGTAACCCTAAAAGGTGAGCTGCTCCTCGTCAGCCCCTTCTGGGCAGGGCCAGCCTATCAGTAGCACCAAATGTGCCTGACACAGGCCCACCTTGAGGCGGTACCTTTCCAGCGACTTGTGTGAGCCAATCATGTCTCGCACAGTGAAACCCTGCAGCTCAAGATAATGTCGCCGGGCCCCAGACACTGTGCAGCTGGTGCCTTTTCCTGTCTTCCTGAAAAAGCTAAGGTTGAACTGCTGAGCCTGACCTTTAACAGGCCTTAGGAATTCCCCCCACACAGACTAGATAAGAGATTTTTTTTCCCCCACTGGAAACTTAACAAGTTCACTTTAGAATCCCTTATTTGGTGCACAGATCTGGCTATTTCACAGAAATACCGGCTCTGCAAATAAGTTGGAGTTGATCTCCCCCCTCGGAAAAGCTGCTGGTTGGTAGTCATCAACAAGACGCGATCAGGGAAGGTTCTTGCGGAGACTCATGCAGAGAGAATCCTGAGGGAAAACACAGAGCACTCATTTCAGGATGAAGCTGCAAGAGCAAAGGATGGTACCAAACCAGTGCCATCCACTGACTAACAGATGCAAGAGGGTTCTTTGCCCAACTACGACGACGGCCCCTGTGATGCGAATCTGGCTCCTTCCCAGGCGGCTTCCTCTCCTGATGCTGTTCTCTGCCCTGCAGACACCCACCCGGAGTTCAGAGGTAGGGCACACCCAAAGAGGAGACTTCTTTATGGTCAGTGCCCCAACGGGATACTTCCCTGGTGACAGCCTTTAAATGGCCTTTGGTTGCTTGGGATCTAGTTTCTCTCAGACATTTTAACAAATAATGCTAGTGAAGGGGGTTGAAAACAGTGATCAAAATTGGCGGAATTCGTTAGAGTTTATAAATTTGGCATTAGGGAAGCTGGGGGAGTAGAGTTACTCGCATGATTCTCCATAAAATGTAAGTAAAACACTGCTTCTGTAGGATAAGTGATGCAAAATAGCCTATTTGACTTTAGACTGTGTCATATGGATCAAGTCAAAAGAAGTATTATGATTTAAAGTTCTGCATAAGTGGGGAGTCTGAGTGACTCAGGCAGTTAAGTGTCCGACTTTGACTCAGGTCATGACCTCACGGTTCATGGGTTCGAGCCCCGCGTCGGGCTCTGTGCTGACAGCTAGCTCAGAGCCTGGAGCCTGTTTCGGATTCTGTATCTCCCTCTCTCTCTGACCCTCCCCTGCTCACAGTCTCTCTCTCTCTCAGAAATAAATAAAACATTAAAAAAATGTTAGAGTTCTGCATAAGGAAAAATCACCTAATGTTAAGAGATAACAGAGTACATATTTGAGATAGAGTACTATATTAAGGTTTTTAGAGCTTACAAGATTGAACAGAGCATGGTATTATTGATTTTGGATTCGTTTGGCTTAAAGAGATTCTGTAGAACTATCTGTAAACCTTCCATAAAGAATTATTGGTTAAAATCATTAAACAGCCTTAAGACTCTTCCATTTTACACACCACTAGACAACTTCGCATCATAAATAACAGTTAAAACACCAAATGGTATGTTTTTGAGTGTTAGCTGCAACATCCTTGACATTGACTGGATGAAATCTTATCTCCTAATATAATGAGTTCTGGCTATTAGAAAAGCATAGTTTCTTTGCCAAGAAGAAAACATCTTAGAATGTGGATAATTGAAAACGAGGCTCTAAAAAAATGGACTGATGATGCTTAAAGAATTTGTATTCAAATCTCTAACACTTTAATACAGACTAGATATTAATAAGTAACATTCAATGGACTACCCATGAGAAAATGTCTTTTTCATACCCCTGTCTTCTAAGAGGAGGAATTGTGCGAGGCACACTCCTGACCACTGTCCTAACCCCCGAGAGCTGGGCAAATTTAGTTGACTGGTAACATCAGGATTAATAACGGAGTATTCTGAGCCTGACTCTCCTCTTCTTCCTGGCAGTTAGTCTGACGGCAACAGGCATGAGCTCTGTGTTCCTCCATGACCAGAATCTTAGTTTGGGCAGGGCCATAGTCTGCACCAAAGTGGGCAAGTCTGCCTCATTCTGAGGTTTACTCTTAACAAATCTACTTTAACCTTCACATATGCTTTTTTTCCCCCCTCAAGTTTTTCAACTGGTCCGAAGAGAGGGCCGTTATATACTGTGGCCCCCTTGGGAGAACCCAACATTACTCATCACTGAAGGTTTTTCTTAAATAAAATTCAAAGACTCACTATAGGTTTTAGGTATTCACAGAGAGAGATGTTTCTTAACACCCATGAGAGAATGTGAAGGAGTCAATAAGAAGGTATACATAAACTTTAAGATTACAGGTTTTTTTCAAAGTACTCCCTACGCAAAAGTACTGTTTCCGGTTATACAAGAAGGGTCACTTCCTCCCTAAGGAGAGGAGGTCTTTTGGAGCTTTTAGTAATATTCATCAAACCAAATTCAATCTCTAGCACAGGTCACTGATACAGGAAGTGCTGGGGTAGTGTGTAATGATCATGAGTGAAACTTACTTCAGCAAATAAGTTTTGAGGCAAAGACTTGCTTTTTTGGAGTATAGCAAGTCAGCCATCACATCTGCCATCTGAAATGAACAGTTAAAATCAAGATTTTTCTTTTCTTATAGGTTGCCATTAACATCAGCTTTGACTTGGCACCAAATTCCTTTGATGACCAGTACCAAGGCTGCAGCCAGCAGGTCATGGAGAAGCTAAGACAAGGGGATTATTTCAGAAAAGAACTAGACTCACATAGAAATTACTCCAGGGTCTGGAATAATGCCCACCTAACATGGTTGAACCAAGCAAAAGATCTCCCCAAGAACATTAATATGATACATGCTGTGGCCATCTTGGTTTATACATCCAACAACAGCATTCGCACAGACTTCATCAGAGCCATGACCAGCACTGCCAGGACTCCACAGCAGTACCAACATTCATTCCATTTCAAATACCTACACTATTACCTGACCTCAGCAATCCAGCTGCTAAGGAAAGAGAGAGTCGGGAAGAATAACTCATTGTGTTATGAGGTACATCATGAGATGGAGGCTATCAATTTGGAAGCCTACAGAGGTGCCACCATCCGATTTGGCCAATTCCTCTCCACCTCCCTCCTAAAAAAAGAGGCACAGAAGTCTGAAAAACAAACTCTATTTACCATATCCACCTGTCTGGGTGCACCTATAGAAAAAGTCTCCTTCAAGAAGAAGGTCTTGGTCCCTCCCTATGAGTTGTTCAAAGTTGTAAATATGAGCTACCACCCAGGAGGAAATTGGTTGCAATTGCAGTCAGCTGGGAACCGGAGCACATTTAACTGTCAGCTGCTGAAAGGTATTATATTATTGATCTACACTGACTCCACTCTAATCGGGATCACAGACCACTGTTCTTTTATAAAAAGGTATTTTTTCTGGGTAGGCTTGTTGAGGGAAAGACCAGAACCATGGAAACTGGCCTTCAGGAACGGTGGAACTGACAAATTAGAGATAACCTGCCTTCTTTCTTGGTTTCCCTCCTCTCCTTTTTCCTCAGCTACCTCTAGGGGGGGAAATGTGTTTCTGCAATGGGGCATTCTAGCCGCAGAGAGTAAAGCTCTACTGAAAAACCTAGCACATAAAACACAGCATTTTTACCTTCTCCCTCAAACTCGGTTTTTTTTTTGTTTTTTTTTGTTTTTTTTTTTTTTGTCGTGGTCATCACAGGAATAAGCAGTGCTAAAAGTAAAGCAGGAAGCCTGATTTATTCATTCACTCTTAACTATTAACCATCTTCTATGTTCCAGGAACAGGGATGGGAGTCCCCAGGCGATACGAAATGAATAAAGCAAGATCGCTATGCTAGGGAGATTTGTAGTCGAATGAGAAAGGGAAATATGAACAACTGCCCACACTCGGAAACCCTAAGCAACCCACCAGATGTTTAAGCAATTGCTGTGGCGTCCCAGTGTAGGAAGCTACTCATTATCTCTGGAGAAAGTGAGAAAGGCTTTGCCATAGAGGACCACACGGGACTTGAAGTAGGAATGGGGGGGGGGGGGTTTGTCGGTGAAAGAAGAGAGGAAAAGTCATTTCAAGCAGAAAGCAGCATATGTTGAATCACAGAGATTTCACATAGCCAGTGTCTTTAGGGAGTCTTCACGATTCGGGATGGTTGGAATGGAGGAGAGGTAGGACATAGGAACAGTAGAAAGGGAACATGGGATTGATTGGGCTGCGAAGATTCAAATGAGCCAGGCCATTAAAACTCTTGTATTCTATGCTAAGGACTTTTCAAACCTCACGCAACAGGTAATGCGGAGTCATTGGAATTTTCTAAGGAGTGGAATATCGATTAGAACAGTATTTTAGCTAGAGCTCTGATGATACCATGAAAAAAATGCACTGAGGCAGAAGCAATTGGAGACATCACAAAACAAATACATAGATATATTGTTAACAAAATATAGATATATTGTACATATATTGTTAAGACCCTTTTTAGAAAAATATGTGGTTGACTCCTTTCCATCCCTGTATGTTGCCGGCCACGGTCAGTGCACAAAAGGGTGGTGCTGTGGCAAGTGCTGTGCCCTGTCTGATCCAGAAGGAGGACCGCCCTTACCCACATGTGCACTCCTTGCCACTCACACAACTGCCGTGTCTACCTTTGAAATACTCCTGAGTCTTTCTCTACTCCATCATTATTGCTATTGTTAGTAATTCCGGCTGTCAGCATTTCTCAACATTTTGGGGCTGCAGTGTCACAAAAAGCCTGAAACCATCATCCACGCTGAGGTCTGGGGCCTGCTCACTGTGGGCAGTCTGCAAACACAGACCAGGGGAGAGGTGACCTATCAGTACTTTTATCTCCTCCTTCTTCTCCTTGGAAGTGTGGCAGGCAGCAATACGTGTGAAATGAGTATCCGTTCCACAGAACCCCTGTTTTGCAGAGGAGAGTATGAAACAATAGAGTATGAAGAAGACAGTGAGATTTTGGTAATAAATGAGAACATTCACAGCCAGTTTCCAGGATTCTTTGGAACTACACTTGACCATAACACTATTGTTTCATCCTCATCATGATGAAGTTGAGAGAGAAAAATTTTTCTAGTAGGTCGATGAGCACAATGCAATATATTAAGTAAAACATTGTAGGGCATTGACACAACCCATATCCACCTATCTCTACTTATTACCAAAAAATTATATTAATTTCATGACGTTTGTAGCTCTCAGGAAACAGATATAGGAGTATATAATAGAAAGTATTACCCATATTCCTTTCTCTGTGAGTCTCAAAGAAAAGGTATTTCGAGACCCTCCACATCAAATTAATGATCTCTGCTTTCCTGCCAGGAAGCTACTCAAGCACAACTTTGGGTTAAGGTTGAGCTGGGGTAGCCATGCATATCACTAGATTCTGGAAGCTTGGTTGGTCTTGCTGGATATCTGAGATCACAAATCATACTTAAGGGAATCAATAGTCTTGTATTGCTCTGTAAGCTGTTTGTGGGCAGGGATGTGACTACATAGTATTTAAGAGCTTGGCATGGAATCCAGGCACTTTGACCCCAGATCCACTCTGTCTAAATTCCCATCCGACTGGTACCATGTTTTAGCTGTGTTCTCAATCCAGTTGCTTAAACTCCCTTTGTTTCTTCAGCGATGGAAGGAGCATCATAACCGACTCCCACAGGGCTCGTGTGAAAATAAAATAAAATACTAAAGTGTTTCTACACTCCCTAGTGTATAGTAAATGGTAAATAAGCATTAGCCAATGTTAATTTTAGTCTCCTGGCACATAGAGGTGCTCAATCTGTATTTGTTGAATAAGTAAGTGAATAAATGAAGCATTCTCTTTCAGTGCTTCTACGTGACCTGGGCTTTTTGGGTCAGATGACCAGATAACTCAATCGACTAAAAACAGTTTCAATACTTACTAGGACAAGAGAATATTCTAGAACCCTTAGTCTCAATCCCTAGTCAAAAAATAAGGAGCTGTAGCCACAATATAAGTGATCTGGAATGTGGTCGCTTGCAATGTGAGTTATTATATCCAAATTTTTCCTAGAAAGTTGCCAACTGGCAGTCTTGGGAAGAGTTTGTAAATGGCGGAATGAGATGACCACTGGTCATAGAGGGTGATGTTTTGCTTGGTAGGCCAAGAGGAGTTGGAGCCTCTTCCCAGCCAGCACGACTACAAAAATGCTTAGGAGATTGAAAGAGGGCAAGGAACAAGCCCAAGCTGCTGTGATGCCGCTCTTCCTTTGACTTCTTTGGCTCTGACTGAAAGTTGCAGAGAAGGCTGCCTCTTCTCTGCCTCCGGTCCTGCCTTCCCTGAATCCCTTAGGGAAGCCAACTGAGGGAAGCCTCAAGGCTGCCCTTGGCTGGTTGTTAGCACAGACATTTTAGTTGAGTACAAAAAGACTACATAATCTTGAGACAAACACAACCGATATCCACCTATCTCTACTGACTACAAAAAAGTTTGATGAATTTCACAATGCTTGCAGCCATTCGCTGCAGTGGGATTTGTTTTCTCAATGAGCGATCTATTTCTGAAACCTTCCTTAAGTCATTTCTGTTAACTATCAAGTAACACTCTACTTATCCCGACTTCTTGGAGCAGTATTGGATTGATCCATACATGACCAACAGGAGGGGGAAGGCGGTGGTGTGTTTTTCTTTTCCGGGAGTCCTTCGCTGGAAGGGAGTCAGATCTGTGGACTCGCTCCAGACCTGTTTTTCTAGATAACTGCTATTGTTCACCATCAATCTCTGCCGTCTAGGGATTCACAGATGGTACTCTACTGATATCAGATTCCTCATGAAACTGGAATCCTCTCAGGTGACTGTTTCTTATTCCTTCCATTTTTTTCCTAAGCAGAAGCCACAAGATATTCTATGTCTCAACAAGTCCCTCTCACCTAGTGACTTGTTTCATCTCCTGTTCCCCCTTAACCTGACAGACACCATATCTGAAAGACAACACGAAGACCTTTAAAATTGGTCAGCCAGGACACTGTAATTCTCCCAATGAAAGGCAGTAGATCAGAGAGCATAGCTTCTTCAGTCCTTCAATTTATTTCAAAATTGGCTCTGTTGACTTGTAACTATAGTTCCCAAGTTCAAAGAGTACCCAGGAATCTGTCGCCTTTGGGGCATCAAAAGGTCAAATTGGTAACATAATATATTTAAGCGAGTCCATTTGAAAAGGAAAAATTGTTTAAGGCATTCTAAACTAACAGCTCTCCATTCTGATACCTCTCTCACCCCTCACATGACCTATACTGGTTACCATAGAAACAGATGTTTTCATGCTCACTGAAACACTCGAAATATGTTGTGTTAGTTATTTGTCCTTAAATGTTGCTTTGTTTAAGAGAATAATCCTTGCCAAAAATCTGTACACACACAAATGCATGCTCTGTTTATATGGTTGGATTCACAAGGAAGGATTTATTTGTTAAAATGTTTCACATAATCAAAATTCTTAAGCACGTTTCTAGAAAAAAAAAATACAGTCAATTGTTTGTAGTAAGCCTCATTTTTACATGGTAGCTTTGCCAGTTACTAGCAGTGAGGACATAGGCAAATGGCTTAGTTCCTCTGTGCTTCCATACATTTACATGTAGAAATATAAAGAAATTTTAATTTCAGGGGGAAATTTTAATAAAAGCCTACCTTACACGATTCTAGTGAGTATAAAATGACTTATGCCTGTAAAAGCTCTTAGAACAATACGGGACACGTGTAAGTACTCCAAACTTTCAGCTACTGTTACTGTTAGATATTATTTATCTTATTAACTTCCTGTTTCCTGTGTTCTTTTACTCTGGGCTTTATCTCAAACTAGTTTTCCCTATTTGTGGTATCACAGCTTGAAGGAGAGTGTCTATCTCACCCGAATGCATGAAACAATGAGTGACCGAATGACTCTAAGAGACCACAGCATGGTGGAAAGAGAAGCGACTTTGGAGCCAGGAAGGGCTGGACATGTGTTCGTAGCTTCGTGGCCTTTTGTCCATGACACCCTATAAGCCTGTTTCTTTACTCATAAAATGGGGGCGAAAGGGGATGTGTGGTAGTAGTTGGTATCCACACTCTCAAACACAATTGAAAAGCTCTGCAAAGTACTTTGCACATGAAAGTGGAATAATAGTTTCATGGCGCAAATGTGTGCTTCAGTGACACTGACAGTGAAAACTAAAACGAAGGCAGAGGCGGAAGAAACAATGCTTACCATTGTTTGAGTGCCAACTTTTTCCTAGAGAACTCTCTAAAATGGTGACACTCATTAATCTCTGCATTTTGACAGAGACGAGCTATAGATAGCATCGATTCCAAATACCAGATCACCTAGACACACTGCATGTCAGTTTTGGCTCTTTCTGGGTTTTTTCAAGGGATTGACGCTTTCCTTCTGAACAATCTGATATAACTCACAGATTCAGAGTTCATGAAATAAAAGGTATAAAAATCATTTGTTTCTCCACAGGCTGTACACCTTAAGGTAGAGATGACCAAATTTAGGTTATAAGACACTGGTAAAATGATATTTATGTAGCAATTTCGTTGACAAAAGGTTTTCACACACATTATCTGTTGAATTCTTACAACTACCCTGTACATTGGGTTACTGACCGCACTGTACTGATGTGAATACTGAGGGTTACAGAGGTTCAATGGCTTGCGTGAGATCAATCGGCTTATAAATGACAAAAGTAGGACCCTTTCCCATGTTTAATGACAAAAAGCCCATGACAGTGTTCTCTATAGAGTGTTCTCAGGAGATTTATTTGTCCGTTCAAAAATATTACTGAGAATTGGGGCGCCTGGGTGGTTTATTCAGTTAAGTGTCCATCATTGGCTCAGGTCATGATCTCGCAGCTCCTGGGTTCAAGCCCCACGTCTGGCTCTGCGCTGACAGCTCAGAACCTGGAGCCCGCTTTGGATTCTGTGTCTCACCCTCCCTCTGATTCTCCCATGCTCGCACTCTGTCTCTCTCTGCCACTCAATAATAAATAAACATTAAAAATGTTTTTTTTTTTTTTAATATTACTAAGAACCTACCATTAGTCTCAATCCTCTCTGACTGTGACTGGATTATATAACTCACTTTGCATACACATAAATTACAAATATATACACACACACATATAAAAAGACAATCACTCACCACTGTGCATGCTGTTTAACTCGAGTGTCTTTTATCACAACCCATTTTATCACATTATTAAAGAGTGATGGTCACGACAGGGCATTAATGGATCGCAAACTCCAGTTTGAAAAATACCCCACTAGGGTACAGAGGGAATACAAAGCATGAGTAGATACTCTAGAAGAAAAGTAAAAACAAATACAAATGTCAATTTAATGTGAATTATCCTTAAATGAAAGAGTTTGTAGATTGCAGAGAATTTAATTCACATATGTTTTTCATTTATTCTCCTAAATAAATATATTGTCTGTGTAAAAGAATAATAAAGTGTGAGGTAGAAATTTAATGACTGTAAGAAAGGCAGAGAAAAAAGAACAAGAGAGGAAAGAAAAGTTACTTTAAGCTGACAAAATAAAATTAAAGCAAGTTTTTTTAAATATCCTGGCTATTATGAAGGGGGCTTAACAGGAAAAGGGGGCTTGAAGGATGAGTATGCTTACAAAATAGTGATATCTGCATGTCTGTTTCTTCTTGGAGCATCATTATAATAGCCATGAAGCAAAGTGGAGTGGTAGTGATCTGAGTATTTCCAAAAAACCTCAAGATGCTCTCATTTTACAGATGAGAAAATTGAGGCCCAATGAAAGCGACCACCATGGTAAAGGTCAGCTAAGGGCAAAGCTTCAACACAAAAGCTAATCCCTTCCAATAACTGTAATTTCTACCTGCTCTATTGGTTCACTGTCCATCAATATTTTCTGATAACTCTGCAGTAGAATCTTACCCCATTAAAAAGTGAGAAAGGGCAGGGTCAGAGGTGCTTGTAATCTCAGCCTCAGTGAGGAGAAAACAAAATAAAAAGTACTACTATAATGAATAACCTGCTACAGTGGTATTAATACTTCCAAGGTCCCTGTGAGAATTCAGATAATACAATTTTAACACAAAGTTTGGCAAAAGCTGAGAACTCTGCACACACTACTAACTTTCCTTATCTACTCTTATCGGTGAAAACTGGGGTTTTAAACATTGCATACATAGAATTCCAAGAAATTCCAGGAAACTCAAAGAATTTTATGCATTATTATGTGAAAGTAGTGGAAAAATATGTCTCCATCATCGGGTCATCCGATCAAATGAGATGTTCAAATATTAAGACAATCACAGAGGGGCACCTGGGTGGCTCATTCGGTTAAGCGTCTGACTTTGGCTCAGGTCATGATCTCACGGTTTGTGGGTTCGAGCCCCGCATCGGGAAGGGGGCTAGCTCAGAGCCTGGAGCTTATTTCAGTTTCTGTATCTCCCTCTCTCTCTGACCCTCCCCTGCTCTCTCTCTCTCTCTCTCTCTCTCTCTCAGAAATAGATAAATCATTTTAAAAAAAGACAATCACAGAGCCAAATGTCTTCCTACCCCAAACATCTTTTCTACCCTAAATAATCAGTGAAGGCTGATTAAAAAGGAGACGCCACTCTTTATTTAGAGCATTTTTAAAGGTTTCCATCTTCCATCTCATTCTATATCCTCACCCCATTAAATTCCCAATTTGTAGTGATACCTGACATTGTTTCTTGTATTCCAGTCTTGCTACCAGGAGCCACACCTAACTGGCTAACCTTCCCCATACTTCCTGTGGAAAGCATGCAGTTGTCGGCAGTACACACACACACACACACACACACACACACCCACCACCACCACCACCACCACCAAGCAAGACTGTGTGAATACTTTTGGCCCACTTTGTCATTAAAACATGGACATGCATCATATGGAGAAACAATATAAGTGGTTAAAAAAAAATTTGAGCCAGACTCCCCGAATTTGAATGCTTGCCTACACCGCACACTAGATGTGTGATGCTTGGTAGAGTTCTCCACGTTTTGTGTCTCCATTTTATCAACAGAAAAATGGGGATAATGAGAATAAATGCTTCATAGATTCCCTGTGAGGATTAAATGAGTTCGTCTATAGCAAAGTGCTTAAAATAGATCATAGCACAGAATGAGTTGCTTAATCAACGTGAGCTTTCATAATGATGAAGCCGATGGTAATTAGGTGGGGGTAACGGTGATGGTGAGAGAGGTGCTGATGGTAATAACGATGGCAAATCAGGAGATCTCAGACGCCGAGAGCTGGGGAACCCGGAGTAAATCTCTTGAACTTCTTGGTGCCTTATTTATTTATTTATTTATTTATTTATTTATTTATTTGAGAGATAGAGACAGAAAGAGAGACATTTCATTTATTTATGTATTTATTTATTTGTTTATTTATTTGAGAGATAGACAGAGAGACAGAGAAGTGGGAGAGAGAGGGGGACAGAGAATCTGAAGCAGGCTCCAGGCTCTGAGCTGTCAGCACAGAGCCTGATGCAAACAAGCTGACCTCTGTTAGAAAATATCTAAGAGAATATTTTTGTAAGTAGCCAACTTCAAATATTTTTATTAGGAATCTTCTAAGTTTAAAAAAGGGGGGAATCAAAGGAGAAGTGGGGTAGTTAAAAAAAAAAATCTCTGCCACCTAAAACATCTCTTATTTTGTGTTTGTTTTTACAGCTTCCAGCAAAAAGTACAACCCGGCTCCCATGGTTATTGCTTCTCTCTCCTTCTTGACCAGTGTCGTCATCTCTTCCAAAAGTAGAGTATAAAGGAACCTTGTGATTTTGCTTTCTCTGTGCCCTTTTGCTCGATGCCGGCCAGGGCACCCTGAATACCCTTGGGGAATCACTCCGTCCAGCCCTCTACTGACACAGAGCTGACACAGCCCACTGCCTGTGAGAGGACCTGTAACTCCATATATTTCTTCTCCATGGACACAGAGATTCATACTGAAATAGAAAAGGGCCCAATCAGAGCGAGTGAGATACAATCATGGTACTTTTTTGACATTGGGATCGGGAGTGGTGTGGGGGCTTTTTTTTTTTTTTTCCTTTTTTTCTTTTTTTAGTGGAGATCAAAGAAAGCAGAGTGAGTATGAGCCTGGAGCTACTAAGCAGCAATCTTTCTACCTACCAGTAGGGGAGACTCTATCTCCTTGAGTATGAAGCGAACACAATGAAGGAAGAATTGAGAAACGAAAAGACACCGTTTTGATGAGGCCCTAGATCCAACTGTGCCTGAAACTGGACTGACTCCTGGGCTTTTTTTATTACATAAATCAATAAATAGTATGTTTGCATAAATAATTTGGATTGAATAACCTACCTTAAGCAATTAAAGGAGCTATGAATACAAGGATTCTCCGTGATTTTTATTTAGCAATCCTAAATAGAAACAAACCAGAGAAGCTTGAGTTCGAGAGCAGGGAACAAATTCTTCATTAGATGGAAAAGCTTTGAAGCCCAGAGACAGAACTAAAGTGTGAGATTTTTATCAGCATTCAGGACCAAACCAGTGTAGTCTCAGATAGGAGGAAATATGAGAACTTGAGAAATAAAAGGGAAAGTTAATAAAAGATGCTAGTGAAATCTCATTCACTGCCAGTAATGGGGTGCTACACGTGTTTCTAAAATATGACAGAAGGTAGAATTTAAATTCATATATTAATTTCCAGAGGACTTTATGGCAAATTGAATGTTAAGCCAGCATCAAAAATTTAAGTACATTTATTAAGAATGTGTGTAGATGTGTGTGGAGATAAAGATGTAGGAGAAAAAAGTCGGATGATAACCGAGTACATATCAAAGATATATTGAGTCCCCACTATGTGACAATAATTAAGTAAAAGCCAGTATTAATCATTGAACTTCACAGATGGGAATGTTCTCCAACCTACCTCAGTAGTATACAATATGAATGGGACAATGGGCTTGTTTTAGCTGATTTCCGAAGACCTTGCATTGGGCTACATGGAGTGAAGGGGAGGGTTAGCTCTATACCTTTGGATTCTGCAAGTCCATGCTACTTAGCCCCTCTGAGATTTGGGTAAGAAACAACAAAAGTGAGGTCAGCTCAGTTGACTCCAGGAGGACTGTGCCATGAGAGACGAGACTCGTTGGGGAATTCGTTGCATAAAACCACGTGGTAGAGAATTCAGGCATCTCATACTATCATTCGTTACATGGAATTTTGAGAAAAGGGCCAAGTGCATCTCTGTCACCTAGCCTACATTGGCCCCTATGCCTAATAAAGCAATACAATTTCCATAAACACAATTCTCCTGATTTATTGCCCAGGGACCTTGGCATGTTAGTGGCTACTGAGTAGAGTTCCGCAGGCCTAACTGGGAACAAGCTTTGCTGTGAGCCTTAGCGAAGCAGTAGAAAAGCCTTCCAACATCTTGCATATTTTTTTTTCTGTGCCACATAACTGCACTTATTGCCATACTATGTACAAAGCCTTTTGGGGATTAAAAGTTGAATATCGTAGGCCAGATCCTCCATGAGTTCACAGTCCCTAGGGAGAAATTGAGAAAAGAACACAAGTCAGAGGAAATACCAAAAGAAAGGGAGAAATCAAACCTTCTGCTCATGACAGTTCAAAAGAGAAACTCCTTCTAAGTCAAGAGGAGAAGCCAGGAAGGCTGCAGGGAGGGGCCAGCATTTGAGCAAGGTCTTGGGACACTGGGATTGGAGCAAGGGGTTAGAGGAAGAAGATAGTAGTGTAGGTATGTGTCGAGTGCTTAGTGTCATCACACATACACATAAGTGCTTGGTGTTTAGAGAAAAGTGAGTCCCTCTGGCCTATGGTTGGATACAGCTTTCTATCAGAGGTGAGGCTTGAGAGAGGGGTTCAGATGGGTGGAGAGACCTGAGTAGAAAAGAGACGGAGGAGGGGCGCCTGGGTGGCTTAGTTGGTTGAGCGTCCGACTTTCGCTTAGGTCATGATCTCGTGGTTCATGGGTTCGAGCCCCGCGTCGGGCTCTGTGCTGACTGCCAGCTCAGAGCCTGGAGCCTGTTTCAGTCTGTGACTCCCTCTCTCTCTGACCCTCCCCTGCTCACGCTGTCTCTCTCTCTCCTAGAAATAAATAAAACATTTAAAAAAAAAAAAAAGAAAGAAAAAGAAAAGAGACGGAGGATATAGGAATGAGCAGTGTATGTAAGGGTCCGGAAATACACTAAGTGCCTCTTACGGATTTGTTGGAAATGAGCTCTAAGGCCTGATCCCAATCCACGGAATCAGAAACCGGGAGCCTGTTTAAGAAGCCCTCCAGGCTTGTGACTTATGGGATTATGAGCCATAAGGGAATAGCCTCCTGCTGCTGTTTTATAGAACAAATCTCTAGAGACAGAAGTTATTCCCTTGAATTATGTAGATTTGTGGGGTATGGATGAATGCCCCTAGTTTGCCCTCCCTCCATCTCTCCCTATGGTCCACAGTTTTTGTGCAAGAAAACTGTGCAGTGGACCGTTGATTTAAGTCAATTCGAAGTCTAAGTTCATGAAATTTTAGGAGACTACTTTCAAAAATGTCACTGTAATTTCTGCTCCTTTTTTATTCTGGGATATCTTTGACGATAACATGGACGCTCGATTGTGCACAAATTCACGTGGATTGTTAAAAGAGCGCGTGTTATAAAGTTGCATAGTATTTAACTCCTATAGTAATTTTTATTAAAATAAAACATGCTTCTCTCCTTTTGTGTACATAAAAAATACTCTGGCCTCATTTATGATTTTTATCTTTATAATTTAGTGTTTTAATATGCCACCTGGGTGGCTCAGTTGGTTAAGCGTCTCACTTCAGCTCAGGTCGTGGTCTCACAGTTTGTGTGTTCGAGCCCCACATCAGGCTCTGCTGACAGATCAGAGCCTGGAGCCTGCTTCAGATTCTGTGTCTCCCTGTCTCTCTGCCCCACCTGGCTCACACTCTGTCTCTCTGTCTCTGTCTCTGTCTCTGATTCTTTCAGAAATAAATATTAACAAAAAATAATTTAAAATGTCTATGTGTTTTATTTTGTTTTGCTTGATGGCAGTTCACTTTTTCTTCCCCACTTGGGCTTCATTCAGTTAGGTCACACTGTGCTCATGGCCTCTGAGGAAGGCTGAAACTAGATACGAGGTAGAAACTAGTGAGTCTTCCCCATGTTGCTTTTCAAAACTTGGAGGTATTGATAGAAAATGAGAGGAACCCAAAACAAAGACTTTGAGAGAAACATTAAACAAGAGTAGTAGGTTTGAGAAGAGTGAGGCTTTGGCCCCCTCCCCCAATATCCCCACAGGCCGGGAAGCGGCCGCTGAGAAGAAGTCATCAGAGTGGGTAGATTAGTGGTCCTGGGTGGTGGGGAAATGTCTGTGAGAGGCACTGCCAGTGATGGCCAGCCTCACAGGGGCCACCAGCTTCTGAAAACCACTCTTCCTGGTGGGACCCCCGCCGCCCCCCCACCTTGTAATATCCTGGAATATAGCCTTAAGCCCAAGAGAAAGCAGGTGAAAACCAGAATACACGCAGTTTCAGAAAAAGTAACAAAGTGAGAGCCATGCCTCCCTCCTCCCATATATATATGTGTGTATTTCTTTTTTTTTTTTAATTTTTTTTTTAATGTTTTATTTATTTCTAGGAGAGAGAGAGAGAGAGACAGTGTGAGCAGGGGAGGGTCAGAGAGAGAGGGAGTCACAGACTGAAACAGGCTCCAGGCTCCGAGCCGGCAGTCAGCACAGAGCCCGACGCGGGGCTCGAACCCACGAACCGCGAGATCATGACCTAAGCGAAAGTCGGACGCTTAACCGACTAAGCCACCCAGGCGCCCCTATATGTGTGTATTTCTGAACACAGGGTAGCAAGTGGATCAGCTCAAGAATGTCCTCAAAACAAGACAGCTATTAAGAGATGCCTATCGCAAACAAACAAGGTTTCAGCTTTAGAGCTGAGAGAAAATGCAGACTCCAGTGTATTGAAACTCCTCCTTTTTTCAAGCCCTCTAAACCCTGGAAATGGTCGAAATCCCCGTGGCCCTTGCCACAGGACCTTCTGAAGGTGCAAGGACATTAGGGAACAAGGAAGAGATTCCTAATTTAAAATTATAGTGGTGATTCCAGTGACAGCCTTGGCTTTGGAGCTGAGTTCCTGACTCGGGCGATCAGAAGTGCAACTTCAAAGTAGCCACGACCGAGGAGGTGACCTGGGAACCTTGGTGGAAGTGATTGCGTCACACACTAAAATGTACCTAGAGTGCCATCTTCCCCCTCTCCATCAAACGCTCACCATTTCTTTCCAGTTTAGTTTCTTACCCTGCAGACTTATTTTTAAGTGTAGGGAAATATGTTTTCTCTTTAAAGAAGATGGGACTTAAAGCTTTACATGAGAAAATGTTTACAGGAGGAAAAACTTAGGTATTCTCAGAAGAAAAATTCCAGTAAAGAACTAAAGTTACTGGAGAGCCTGGGTGGTTCAGTTGGTTAAGCCTGCAACTTCAGCTCAGGTCATGATCTTGCGGTCTGTGAGTTCGAGGCCCACATCGGGCTCTGTGCTAACAGCTCAGAGCCAGGAGCCCCCTTCAGATTCTGTCTCCCCCTCTCTCTGCCTCTCCCATGCTCATGCTCTGTTTCTCTGCCTCTCAATAGTAAAAACTTAAAAAAAAAAAAAAAAAAGAATAGGGCAATGTTGAAGGCATACACTCATTCTCATCGAATGAACGCCGAAGACTTTCTGGTAGGCAAAGGGACTTGTCTAAACTTTCTTTCCTCATACAAGCACATCTCAGAAATCCCACTTCTACAAGTGTTTAAGTCTCTGTGAAAGGTTAGAGCACCTCTACTTTTCAACCTCGAGTAGCTCCTAATCACAAAACCTCAGTAGGAAACAAGACAAGAATAAATCATTTGCTCTGGTCTTATACAAGTAAGCAAGAAAACTACTACTCATCCTTCATTGTTCTTATTTAATTCTGGGGACGCCTGCGTGGGTCAGTAGGTTAGGAATCATAATCAGGCCATGATCTTCGGCTGAGGTCATGATCTCATAGTTTCATGGGTTCAAACCCTGCATCGGGGTCTGTGCTGACAGCTCAGAGCCTGAAGCCTGCTTTGGATTCTGTGTCTTCCTTTCTTTCTGTCCCTGCCCCGCTCATGCTCTCTCTCTATCTTCCTCAAAAGTAAAAAATAAACATTAAAAATAAATAAATAATTCACTTCTAGGTAAATCATACCAAAAGTATTTAGTGATGGCTAAGAAGAGTTAAGGCACTGATGTTTCAGACTGATATAAAACAGACAGAAATGCAGAAGTTGATTTTATATGTGTCTCATGCCTGAACAGTAGTTTCTGCCAGATTATCTAATGGTAATGTTGACATTTACCCGGATTTCACACTGCAGAATCTAGAAATAGAATTACTAAGGGTATAAATTAGTTTGTAGTTATTTTAACTATGTTTTAAGATGACATGTAACATTTAGAAACATCCTCAAACAGAATACATTACCTTGATTTTCTGAACAAAATGTTCTTTTTAGTAACTGCCACTTCAAGCAGGCCTTCTCTGATTATTTTTATTTGACTAAAGCAAAATTTCAGGTAAATGGTCTGCTGGGCGACTACTCTTTGCACTTATGTCCGAATGTAACACATTTCTGGCACCGAAGGTCTTAGAACATACTCGAAAATTTCACAGGATTTGAACCGATTCGCTGACTGAAATGAGCACGCCTACTGGCCATTGGCCTTCTTAGGCGCAGACGTCTTGGTTTTCATGGTGCTCACGACTTTTTGGAGGACCTCTAAGATTGGTAGCAACGTTTTGACAACTTGCTCCAGCTGATCTGCAGCAGACTTGATGGTATTCTTGGCTGGCTCAGTTTTTAGCACATCCTGCAACTTCTTCAAGGTGTCTACTGTACTGATTTGGGGTGGCCCTGGACTTGTGTTTTTCTCAGATGTGATGGCACCTGCTTGCTCTTTGGTGTCTTTTCTATAGAGGTCACTTACCCGAAGATTTATGATGGGATATTTTGTCAAGAGCAAGGCAGAAGATTCTAAACCACCCAGGATGTTACTACTATTCAGCACAGAGATAAGGATCGGAGTGTGGACATTTTTGAACACTTCTTTAGCTGACTGATGCAACTCCTTTACATTGGTGCTCTTCTCAACCATGGAACAAACAGCTGTTGCAATCTGGGCACACAAAGGTTCCTTTTGCATTTGGTCATACTTTGCCTCCAGTACAGATTGCATCTCCTTAAAAATTTTGAACATTTGTTCAAAGACATCCTTAATATCACCATCCTCTTTCACAGTCATGTGGTTGATCTGAGTATTCATACTGCAGTTAAACAATTCAACAAGTATGTTAGTGAAGGAGGCAAGATCTTGCATATGAAAGAACAACATTTGGGCAGCTTGAACCAGCCTCTCTCTATCCTTTTCTGATTCTGAAGACATTTCTCCAACAAAGATGTTTCAGCACTGCAAAACAAAGCAGTAATCTGAATGAAAACTAAAATTATATTTGTCAACCATGGAGAGACTGAAAGTATAATATAAATGTGAAGGTAACTCCTGTCAACGGTAGAAAAGCTACCCAAGCTATAAAGCAGAAATGATCCTGTGTTTTAATAAAAATAACAGCAAAGATAATTTAAAATATATATGTATTTATTTTATATATAAATTTATAAGGTAGGGGTGTTTTAATGAACTTAAATCGCACATTGGATAGAAGGTGCTGGATCCACAACTGGATGTGCTGGTATATGGAGTAACATTATCCTCAGATATTACCCTCAATAACTATTCAATCTAGTGGAGAAGATGGTATAAAGCTTACAAATTACATAGAGGGCCTCTGGTCCCATTTAAGATAGAGCAAGCACACTCCATCCAATCTTTCTTATTGATCACAGCTAAAACTCCTGGACAGAATACATAAAGTAACTAGCCGACAGCTCTGAGAGGTGGAGAACAGCAGACCAAGGAGGCAGAGTGCCTCACTCCAAAGAAGATCAAGGCCATCTGATGCAAACTCCATCAGAGTCTGTCTTGCCTCAGAATGTTTCTGTAGCTTCATTACAATTCCTCCTCTTCTGCTACAGAGAGGAGTGTTGGTGTCTCTAACTAACGTTCACAAGTAGAATTCCAGAGCAGGATTAAAATCCTGTCCTATAAAAAGACAGGATTGTGAACACTGGCCCAGGAGTCACAAACTAGCCATCCACAGGCAAACTCCAACCAGCAGGTGTGGTTTCTTTGATCCACCATAACGTATTTTCAAAACACGTATCGACTGCTAAATTTAGAAACTGAAAGAGAGAAATCAGGATTTCTATTGATTGAAAAACATGAGGTTAACTGGCAGCACTAAGCCCAGGTTATGAGTTAGAAAAATTGTCTCGAGCTATGGCTGTCCTTCTGAAACTAGACATCTACTGCCTACACCCTACTGTCTTACACAGTATTTCAGCTACATACGTTTTGTACATTTACTGTAGGCATTGGAGTCGCGTTATTGGCTATACCCACTAATGTACTTTGTATAAAGTAACCTTCTTAAAATCCAAACATCCTTATATTATCTCATAATAAAAAATCTTCAACAATTCAGTATTGCCTAGAGAATAAAATACAGTTTCCTGGCACAGCATTTAAGGTCATCTACAAACTGTTTTCAATTTTCCACTACTTGCCTTCCCTCCACTGCTCTCATATAGATCCTGTGCCACCAGCCTAGTGGATTATGCTCTATGCAATGCTCTGAAAATGCTCTAAAAATGCTCTACAATATTTTGTTAGCTCCCTCCACCTGCATTATCTCCTCCCACACCTTCCCCCTCCACACCTATTGAAATTGTACTTATCCATCCATACTTACTTCCGATACACGGTCTACACAGCTTTCTTCTCTTTTTTTCCCATATGCCTGTACATGGTAAGTCCTAGGGTATGTCAAGTGCAAAATGACCCACTGGAACAAAAGTAAAATTACAGCTCACTTAATCCTTTTTTAAAACTATAAAGTAGCACCTCTACATTTTACACATCTTCTAGTTGGACTTGATTCTATATTCTCTACCCACTCAATAATAACAGAAATTAGTGTTGTTAATATAAGAAGAATAGCTACCATTTAGTGAGTTTTTGCCATATTATACATGCATTTTCTCACTTAATATATACGACAATCCATAAATTACAAACTAATATTCAGATCACACTAATGAAAAAAATTAGATTCAGTCGCTTTCCCAGGGCTACACAGCTAGTAAGTGATACTTTGGGTACACCAAATCAGGACTGTCCAACTCTAAGCCTGTAATTTTTCCATTAAGTTGTATGGGGATTGAGTGATTTTCCTGCTTCTGAGGTGTCCCTGACTGCTGTAGAGGAACCAATGGGTAGTAGGGCAGAATCTAGAGGAAGAAGCATAAAAGACTCTAAGCTTTTATTTATTTTTTAATGAGAGAAGACAGGCACGTGCGCGCGCGCGCACACACACACACACACACACACACACGTGGGGGAGGGGCACAGGGAGAGGGAGAGAGAGAATCTTAAGCAGACTCTGAGGTTAGCTAAGAGCCCTATGCAGAGCTCAAGCTCTCCTCACAGTGAGATCATGACCATGTCAATTGGTTAGGCGTCCGGTTTCAGCTCAGATCGTGATTTCACCGCGGCTTGTGAGTTCGCGCCTGCATCAGGCTTTGTGCTGACAGCTCAGAGCCTAGAGCCTGCTTCAGAGTCTGTCTCTGTCTCTCTTTGCCCCTCCCCTGCTCACGTGCTCTCTCTCTCTCTTAAATATAAATAAACAGTAATAAATTTTTTTAAAGAGTCAGGTGCTTAACAGATGGAGCCACCCAGGCACCCCATGATTTAAGCTTTAACAAAAGGAGTCAAGTTGCTCTTTCAGGCTTTTCTATTGTCAAGACATTCACCAACACAACGGGAGACAGTGCGAAAGAGCAGAACTTCTACCCAGGGAAGAAGAGCACACACACAAATCACATTTGGCTGCAGGTATCTGGATTTACACCTCTTGAGAACCCAAAGCCACCAGCAACAGATGGAGGTATAAATGCAACAGAAGCTAAAGGAAACTTAATGTCTGGAACAGCTCACAAGACAGGATCCCAGAATCTGAGAGCTGCAATCAAAGAGCCAACTTCTCTGCTGAATGGAATTAGCTCAGTTGTACAGCACTTCAACAACGAAGTCCATTCAAGAACAGAAAATTAAATGTTTCACTGCTTTATTAGTCTTTCTAATTATACTACTTAACATACACTAATTTTATATTAATATAGGAAATAGAATTCGGAGGACTAAGAATGCAGAAATAGTCTATAAACCAGACAGGCAGAGGGACCCAGCAGAGACCAGCAAAGGCTATAAGTCATCACATTCCATGGAAACATCCAGATGAAACCAGATGAAAAAGCCCTTCAGCAATACTCCTAAACAACTGCTGGGGCTACTAAACTCAGACACACAGTAAGGTAAGCAATATACATATTTCTACTAGTATTGATATGATATTCTGTTTCTCCAGATTAAAGCGTGCCTGAAATAACATGTCAGTCTTGAATCTTAGCCATAAATATAGTCACAAAACAACTTTGTTTTAAGAGGATCTGATGGCAGCTTCCTTGTGATTATTTATTTCTCTGAAGACACCAGATTAAAAAAATAATGAGAACAGCTCATATGACTGATTAAACCAGAGGGGGAGATAAAGCAGTAAAGACATCACTATTAGAAAGGATTAAAGAAGAAATGATACCTATGTGAATGTGCACTGCTTCTTGGACTGTAACATTTTCTTTTATGTCTTTAACATCAATATAAGCACTCAGTATCTGTGAAAGAAGAAATGTACAATCTCCTACTAATTAATTTATATTGCTTCTGTTCCTTCATAAGTTATATCACATTCAAATATCATTGGCATTTGCTGTGTGTCTCCAAATTGACTGTTATCCTCTTGAGGGCAAGAAACATTGCCTACTAATTTTTTTAAATTCCTTAAAGCATACAGGTAGAGGATTCTCACTTGAGTATTTGATACATCCTTGATATTCTGCTCCCTAGTCAGAAATTTTTTTTGGGGGGGGGGTAGAAATAGTTAAGGAGAGGGAGGAGGCAAACCATAAGAGACTCTTAAATACTGAGAACAAACTGAGGGCTGATGGGGGTGGGGGAAAGGGGAAAATGGGTGATGCGCATGGAGGAGGGCACTTGTTGGGATGAGCACTGGGTGTTATATGGAAACCAACTTGACAATAAACTATAAAAGAAAAAAAAAAAGAGATAATACTCAGACACCGTACAATTGATACTTGAAAAAAAAAAGAAATATTTTTTTGGAAGAACTCACATCCAAAAGAGTGTCATCACACCATGATCAGCTTCTTATTTGTTTTTTTTTTTTTATTTTTTTTTAATGTTTATTTATTTTTGAGAGAGAGACAGAGCATGAGCTACGGAGAGGCAGAGAGAAAGAGAGAGAGACAGAATCTGAAGCAGGCTCTAGGCTCTGAGCTGTCAGCATAGAGCCTGATGAGGGGCTCAAACTCACTAACTGCAAGATCATGACCCGAGCCAAAATTGGACAGCGCTTAACCGACAGAACCACCCAGGCACTCCTGATTTTGTTTTTTTAATTAAAGGCCAAAGTTTTGATTTATAGAAGGAAGGTCAGAACTAGTTAGTAGCTGTTATTTTCTCCTGAAAAGCTTCGGGCGTCACCCATACCCTCTTCCCACGTTCCCAAAGAGGTGAACCTTGTGTGACCCAATATAGATAATGAAGAAAAGTAACAACTGGAGAGCTGTAAAACCTCAAGAGCACTAATGACTAAACACTAGAGGCTGAGAAGTGATCTTTTTCTTTCTTTCTTTAATTGTTATTATGGGAAAGTTCAAACATACACAGAAGAGGAGATAGTAAAAAAAAAATCCGATTTACTCATCACTCAGCTTCAAAAATAATCAAAACAAGGTTGATTTTATATCTTCTGTAACCCTACTCCACTCTCCCTTCCAGATTATCTGGAAGCAAATCTCAGAGGTCAAGCATATCATTTTATCAATAACATATTCACTATGTATTTCTACAAAAGCAAAAACTTTTTGAAATTTAATTGTGTGCTCCCCAAATTAACAATATTTAACAGAACCATCTTTGACTTTGAAACATACACAGAGTCCTGTTGTAAAAATTTATTTTTTGATGGTAGTATAAAAGTTTTTGTAATGCAATTGGCAATACTTACCAAAAGCAATAAAAACTTTATTCCCCATGGATTACAGACTTCTTCTGGAAATTTATCCTGAGGAACTAATCCAGATAATTGAATAGGGAAAAAAAAAAAAACCTATGCATTAAAATGTCCATTAGAATATTATGATAGGGAAATAATTGGATATTTGTTAAATTATGATAGATATGGAATATTTTATATAATTATTATAAAACTAGAAGTAAAGTGTTTAAGTAAATTAATATAAGATTAAATTTTTACTTATACTGTTACTGCAACTTTGTAAAACTACTTGCAGCTTTAAACAAACTTTAGAAAGGAATAACCAAAAAAAAAAATTAAGATGATAGGTTTATGGATGTTTTTCTTCCACTATCTTAAAGCGTTCATATATCAGTGCTATTGACTTTATATTTTGAAATACTTCTTTATCCAATCTTTTACTTTTAATTTCTTCATGTTATAATTCTAGCATCTTTCAAAACACATTATCACATGTATTTCTCCATGAAGCTTCCTCTAATCACTGCAATATAATTTTCCTCTTTAAATTTTTGTGACACTTGACATTTAACTACTGTTATTTCACAAAAGTATCCTGAGAATTTTTTATTCGAACATGTGATAATCAACACATTTTCACTTTGTGAGGTGGTTCCTTCCCTGAAAAAACCTAAAGCAATTGTATGGCATCACTAAATAAATCTTAACTTTTAGATACAACCATCAGTATATTTCTACCATTTGTATGCTCTTCAGTTTCGACTGTTGACTTCTCATTTCAACAAAATTGACAAGGTCAATTTCAGTAAGAATCCATCGAAACTAATCTTTGTTTACATTCCAGTTTCCCAAGACAAAAACACCTGTGATTTCCTAACTTCCTTTTAGCAACAGAACTCTGTCATCAAATAAAATTTAATGCACCCACAGTCCAAATACGGCAAGAAATCACAGCTGCTTCGGCAAAGGCTCTGGAAAAATAGGCATGCCAGAGCTCGAGAGCTCCGCCTGCTGGCCAGCAATTCTCCATCAGGCTGCCCCAGGAATCTTGAGAACCTATTTCACAAACTAGAGCAATAAAATAACTCAAATAACAGTACAAACCCTGCTGTTCAGCAGTAGATGGTAATCACATAAGGGGAACTTTTTTTCACTGCCAGCGAAGGACTATCATGTGATAACAAATCATGTAAAAATCACATTTACCACACAAAAGGTGCAGGTAGTATGACCTGGATGAGGTATACCACTTAGCTACCTGTAGGTGCTAATCTTTAAACATCTTTTATAAATGACTTTGAAATGATTTTTAAAAGATTGAATTTTGAAGTCAGTGTTTAAAAGGTCATCCCCGGGGTGCCCGGGTGGCTCAGTCGGTTGAGTGTCCCACTTCGGCTTAGGTCATGATTTCATGATTCGTGAGTTCAAGCCCCACATTGGGCTCTGTGCTGTCAGTGCAGAGCCACTTCAAATCCTGTCTCCCTCTCTCTTGGCCTCTAGCCTGCTTGTGTGCTCTCTCTCTGTCTCAAAAATAAACACTAAAAAATAATAAATAAATACATAAATAAATAAAAGGTTATCCCTGAAATTGCAATAAAGATGGGGGAAATATATGGCCCAGACTCTTCTTAGGTAAGTACAGTATACTGTTGGTAAGACATCACGTGAGGCATGCGTAAGTAACACGTACGATCTTCAAGAACATTGGCTCCAACTAATTGCAAGGCTCTTGTTTTGCTGAGTGAAGCAAGCAATTTGAGGGCTGAGGTTAAATTGTCACGGGCAATAGTAGAAATGCCGCACGTTGCCACCTATTTTTCCATGTGGTGTATAACTTCTCCTCTAAGTATCAAGCACTTATTTAAGAGTAACAGTTCGAAAGTGTACAGCTTGTTAACCTTCCCTAGATGACTGAATGTTTCCATGTGGCCCTACTGTTAATACATATTAACCAGTGGGTTGTTTAAATTTGAATGTGATGGAAGCAAACCATAAGAGACTCAAATGCACAGAACAAACTGAGGGTTGATGGAGGCGGGGGAGGGGGAAAGTGGGCAATGGGCATTGAGGACAGCACTTGTTGGGATGCACATTGAGTGTTGTGTGGAAACCAATCGGACAATAAATTATATTTTAAAAATTTGAATGTGATAAAGAAGATGTGGCTTATGTATACAATAGAATACCACTTGGCAATGCGAAAGAATGAAATCCTGCCATTTGTAGCAACATGGATGGACCTTGAGGGCGTTATGCTAAGTGAAATAAGTCAGGCAGAGAAAGACAGATCCCATATGTTTTCACTCATATGTGGAATTTGAGAAACTTAACAGAAGACCATGGGGGGAGGGAAGGGGAAAAAATAGTTTCAAACAGAGAGGGAGGCAAACTAAGAGACGCTTAAATAAAGAGAACAAACTGAGGGTTGATGGGGGGCAGGGGGGAAAATAGGTGATGGGCATGGAGGAGGGCACGTGTGCGGACGAGCACTGGGTGTTGCATGTAAGCCATGAATCATGGGAATCTACTCCCGAAACAAGAGCACACTGTATACACTGTATGTTGGCCAACTTGACAATGAATTATATTTAGAACAAAAAAAGGTAAAAAAAAAAAATTAAATAATTTGTAGAGATTAGTAAAAGATTAAAAGAAAATAATAAAATTAAGAAATTAAATTAGAATGTGCACAAGTCAAGCACCAACCCTATGATTTCAAATGACACATTACTTTCAGGTCAACATGTACTTTAAACATCTTAACTACTTAACTAGATTAGAAATGCCATAAAAGTAAGGACCACGTAGTTTTCATTTTTGTGTGCTTTCTAAAGCCTAGCATGCTTCCTTATACGTAGTAAAGTACTAGTCCATCAGATAAATTGTTACTGAATTATTAAACTGCTTCCTTCACCAGCCTCTTCAAATTTCACCTGTCCAAAAATAATTCATTAGTTGCACCTTAAAACCCTACCTCTTCTCCACCTAATTCTCTAGTGTTTATCTCACTCTTGGGATGAAAATAATCTTGAACTGTATTCAGTACTGGAGGAAACTTTTCAACGCCCTTCCCAAGAGAAAAGGAGCTAGAAAGGTAAGCCCAACTCAGAAAAATAAAAGTCCTTTTTCATTAGACTTGAAAAACAATTCTGAGCACGTCATGATGTCTCTTATTCAAACTTGTAACTGGCACAAAATTATACCCTGATATCTAGAAAACAGGAAGGCGGCTATAAACATGCATGTGTAAGGGCTTGGGTATATAAAAGAAAGAAAATATAATTGAAAAAGTACGATGTCTTTCAGGTAAGACTTAAGTTTTTTCATCAATTAATTAGCTACTATTCTTTTACTGTCCTGTTCAAAGTTGTTTGCTCATTTAGCTATTAGATTACCACTGTTTTCCTTATTGATGACAACACTCTTTGGAAATTCATACTTCATTTTTCTTGCATTTTTCCCAGTTTGCTTTTAGTTTTGTTTTTACATGGTCATCCTTGTTAGTCAAAATGTTTTGTGACCTTTTTCCTTTGTGTGACCTCCTCCACATAGACATCTGAAAATTATCCATTTTCTTCTAGGTATTTTATCATTTTTTACATATATTACATTAACTTTCTTAAATTAATTTTTAATCCCCCCAAACTAGTCCATTATGCCAGGAACATTTATAGAATAATAATTTCAATTACTCTCAATTTGAGATTCTACGTTTATTATATATTAAATGTAAAGAAGGGTCTGTTTTCAGAACTATTCTGTTCCATGAGTCCATTTATTCTTATACCTGCACAATACTGATTGTTTTTGTAATGTTTTAATACTGGGGGAGGAAAAATTCCCATCATTACTTTTCCTGAAAAAAATAGGAAACCCCACCTATTTAGTTTTGTTTAATTTTATTTAAACTCTTGGGAGAAAAGAAAGAGAAAATGGTGTCCTGTATATCTGTGTGGGATCTGGTACATATTCTCTTTAGGTAAACAATATCCTGATTGTTATTTTATGATTAATTCATCAAGTTGTGTTAACACTGGGAATTGGCTGGGAAGAAACTGACCATTTGGAAGCATTCACCCTCCCGCTCAGAAGGAAGGCTCATCTCTCCACCTTCCACCTTTTCTGGAAGCTATGCTTTCAGATAATGGTGTATGATAACTGCTAGAGATATCCTATGCTTCTCTTTTTTTTTAAATTTTTAAATGTTTTCTTTATTTCTGAGAGAATGAGAGAGAAAGCATGAGCAGGGGAGGGGCAGAGAGAGGGGGAGATGCAGAATCTGAAACAGGCTCCATGCTCTGAGCTGTCAGCACAGAGCCCGACGCAGGGCTCGAACCCACGAACCATGAGATCATGACCTGAGCCAAATTCGGATGCTTAACTGACTGAGCCACCCACGCCCGAAGATATTTTTTATGCTTCTTCAGGGTAAGAAAGACTCCTCTCACCTAAATATCTGAATAGGAATATAGTTGATGATCTTCTAAATTCAAAGTCAGAAACTGGAGTTTTCACTTCATGATAATATCTGAAAACTAGGAGCCAAAAAAAAAAAAAAACCCAAAACCAAATTTAATGGAAAATTTCTAGAAAAGAGAAATTAAAGTCCAGATTCATGGTTATTGAAGTGCAGTTTGCAACCCTATGGTGAGTTTGGGAATATTTAATAAACCCTCAGCAATTTCTTTAAATGAACTTGAGTTATTTTCTAAGTACAGTTTTGTGGCAACTTGTGTAATGTGTTTGTGTGTGTGCGTGTGTGTGTGTGCGCGCGTGCGCGCTGGATCTGCATCAAATATAAAAATGAATTTCTGACAGGGGCACCCGGATGACTCCATTGGTGGAACGTCCAGCTCTTGATTTAGGCTCAGGTCATGATCTCAGAGTTCGTGGGTTCGAGCCCTGCGTCCAGCTCTGTGCTGACAGCATGGAGTCTGCTTGGGATCCTCTGTCTTCCTTTCTCTCTGCTCCTCCCTGCTTGCACTCTTCCTCTCTCAAATCAAGACTTTTTAAAAAAATGAATTTCCTACCATCATCAAGTTTATGCTATCAGGGGTACCAAAGCATTTTTTCTAAACTTAACAGCATAAATGATTATGTTCCCAGTCCATTTGTAAAAAGTGTACCGCTTTGCATTTCCAAATTATATCTTTACGACTTGGAGAGTAGGTTGTTTTCATGTTAATTTTCTTGAGAAAAAAGTATCTCCGTTCCTTCATTCCATGCTTGTGAGGTTCCTCATATCTTGGCCAAGAGCCATGGTCCCAGAATAGACAGGGCCTGAATTCCTCAGGATGTTGTTTACTCAAGACAGAATGTGCCAGACCCCACACAGATTTCATTTTCTCTTTTCTCCCAAGAGAATTTTAAACTAAAAATAGAACTGCCAAGCACCTCATAAGCCTATTCAAGGTATGCCTATGGAGTAACATTGTTCTTACAGGGCTCAAACTTTTTCGCCCAAATAAACTCAGAACATGCTTGTTCCATTTTTCTCTACATAGTACTATGAGCCAGAAGTACAAACACAAGGAGGCTCCTACCAGACATATTTTATTCATTTGATGGTGGGCTCTTGCTACTTATTCCTTACCACTTTCATGAAATGGCATTATCTTCTTTCTGAGGCTAACTCTAGCTTTTTTTTTTTTTTTTTTTTGAGAGAGAGAGAGAGAGAGAAAGAGAGCAGGAAAGGGGCAGAGAGAGCGAGAGAGAGAATCCCAAGCAAGCCCCATGCTGTCAGCGTGGAGCCCTACAAGGGGCTCAATATCACAAATTGTAAGATCATGACCTCAGCCGAAATGGAGAATAAGACGCTTAACTGACGGAGCCACCCACGCGCCCCTCTAGCTAATCCGAATAGTGCCCAAGTGCATTATGGACAAGTCTAAATAATTTAACTTAGAAGCTTTGCAAATGGACACTACAGAGGTAGTCACAACTGCACTGTCCCCTGCACCATGCCCACTTTCTCTCCAAGGGAGATTTTAATCTAAAGAATTTTGAATAGGGGCGCCTGGGTGGCTCAGTCGGTTAAGCCTCCGACTTCAGCTCAGGTCACGAACTCGCAGTACGTAAGTTCAAGGCCCGTGTTGGGCTCTGCTCTGACAGCTCAGAGCGTGGAGCCTGCTTTAGATTCTGTGTCTCCCTCTTTGTCCGTTCCTCCCCTACTTGCACTCTGTCTCTCTCCTCCTTCTCAAAAATAAAGATTAAAAAACAGTTTTAAAGATTTTTGAATATATGCTCTTATCATGAAAATTTTGTGTAAAGATTCTAATGTTATATCTATGTTGCCTTTGGATGTCCCCTAGGTTTAGAGAACAAATAATTGCCTGTAAGGACATACAGAGTGACTTGAATAGTATAAATTAAGGTAACAGTATACAAACAAAATTGGATATTATTAGCCCTGTAAACTCAGAGATCTTAATATTCTTCTGGCCTTACTAACTTAACTCCAAATATTAAGGAAATCAGTCTGGTAGGTCTAGTCAATGTGGTGACGAGGGTTTGGGAAAATTAAGGAGCCCTGGGAATCAAGAGCTAACTACAGCCTATGTCAAACATTATTAAATATTACTTAGAAATAGTCACAGTTATTTGTTAATAATCAGATCTTGAAAAACACAAATGTTCCCCATCTAGGATTTCTCTCCACCACAAAGAGCTAGCGCCTCAATTAATGCATCAATAGGTTGCATTCTGTTACCCACATTTCCGTACAGTGACTCAAAGTTTCATAAGTGTAACTGTTTCAAAGAACCTGTTGCATTTTCAGAGGAATTCCTTAGCTTTTTTTCTATTCATAAAGTAAAAGATTTCCTGGGCAAATGTATGCAGACAACAGATACTTTTCAAAAGTTTTAGTGAAGATTTACTACTTTATTTTTCAGAGATTATATTTGAAATATGGCTCAGACTGACTTCCTCTACCCCGATAACCCAAGGAGAAGGCAAGAAGTCAACCGTCTTCACCAGCAGCTTCTCGACTGCTTATCTGACAGCTTCCATGCCACCAATAAGCTGATCGGGGTTTTAAACATGCACTTGGGGTGCAGCCTGGCCTCTATTGAGATGCAACGAGGTGGGACCATCAAGGAAAACTGTGATATCATCATCCAAGCCATGATGAAAATCCAAGAAGAATTGCAAAAAGTTGATGAAGCGCTAAAAGACAAACTAGAGCCAACCCTTTACAGAAAACTCCAGGATATTAAAGAAAGGGAAACCGAGAAAATTGCAATAGTACAAAAGGTTATTTCAGTCATCCTGGGAGAAGCTACTTCTGCAGCCAGTGCAGTGGCTGTTAAACTTGTGGGCTCAAACGTCACAACCGGCATAATTAACAAGTTGGTCACCGTATTAGCTCAAATTGGAGCTTCTCTCCTTGGTAGTATAGGAGTTGCTGTTCTTGGCCTTGGCATAGATATGATCTTCCGTGCTATCCTGGGAGCAGTGGAGAAAACACAGCTTCAAGCAGCCATTAAAAGTTATGAGAAGCATCTGGTGGAATTCAAGTCAGCTTCAGAAAAATACCATCATGCCATTATTGAAGTCACCAACACAGTGAAACACCAAATGAAATAAACAGCCCCTGTGCCACTTCTGCTTCTCAATATCAGTGTTTTGCTTCTTTGATTAGGTTTATTTTCTGTAAGTTTCCAACATGGACATAAATACAGTTAACAACTTGGAAAGATGGTTTAGAGATGCTGAAACGAGAGGACTCTAGAGTTTTGAGTCAACAATGAAAGCCTAATCAGCCGGTGCTAGACCCTGTGAAGTAAAATTATATCCTAGGATACTTTCTTACAACATTAGGTTTAAGGCTATTGTGGAAGAGCAGGTGTAAGGGTTACCTTTTCCAATTCCCTGAATCCTTAAAATTTACACGGAACGGGCTGACTTTTATTTCTAATACTAGCTTCAAACATCATTTAGTTCTAAGGCGATGTACTTAGTAACTGCTGCCTAGACTCAAACTGTGACCTCTGAATGAAATAGTTTTGACCATCAGTTTACATCCATAAACTGGAAGAGACAGAAATACAGCTCGCAACAATTCAATCATGAAAGAACACAATGGTTCTGTAACTTCTACTAATTACACACTATAACCTGGATGGCTTTTTTAAAAGATAAAAGTTAAAACTAAAAAGATAAAGGCTCTGTTTCTATAATTAAAACCAACCCTAAGCAACTGTGGTGTGATGATTAAATATCCCTCATGTGAATGAACACTCCGGAACATTTAAAAAGAAACATGCATTTAGGATGCAGGGGAGGAAGCTGTTACTCTTTCAAGAATTTGTCACTTTGTTATTTAAAGGAGAGTTATAATTTTTATTACCCTAATGAGTTTTCAGAAAGATGAAATTTCATTTTCAATACCATCAGAATGGAAGCTCTCTCTGCTACATAAAACTTTAGGTGGCTAATTTCACTAATTACCTGATTTCAGAAAAATCCAGAAGCTAAGGAGGACTATGGTTCAGTTCATTTCTGCAGACACAAGTGTCTTTTGCCAACTAATAACTACCCACTGAGACTCTTAGGCTCTACTTACAAAATCATTAAGTTATTGATGCAAGAATGTGTTTGCTATCGTTTATTTTTTAAGATCTTGAGATTTTAAAAGCTCAACATATCCCCAAAATTAAAAAGCTAGATCAAACACTTTAATTTTTCAAATGTACTCTTCATTTTCTTTCTCTTCTGTCACTGCTTCCTAAGCTTAGTTGCAAACTAAATTTCTTCATATTCAAAATTAAATCTTATTTTTTTTATTACCTAACTTACAAGTTTTAAACTACAAGACCTTGTTAATGCTCTTTCTGGGATTCAAAATTGGATGGAAAACCAAACCGGGAAATTTTCTGAGACAAAGGTAAGGAACCGATCTTAAATGGTTTAAGTGCACATTTAAATATTCTGCTGCTAAAATTAGTTATATATCTCCTTCAATATTTTGGTGTATTTACACTAATTGATAGTAAGAGCTAACTATAGCTAACATTTTCCTGTAAGAAATACTAAGATCAGAAATAACCAAGAGGGTCTTTTAAAAGTAAAATTTTAGAATATTTAAGTTTTTAAGGTTACCTTTAAAGGGAAAGGGGGAGGAGTCTTAGACAAACAGCAGATAGACCGTGAAGGACGAAAGCCTAGACCTGTGATAATCCGTATATAGGTATAGTGACATCATAAAAGGACTTCTAGTTGGTGAGACCAAAAGGGAAAGGAGCCAATGTAAATCAACCTCGTCACTTGTAGATTTAAAACTGACTTCACATGTATCTCCACATTTCCTCCTCAAAATACTTATTGTAGATTACTGTAGATTAATTTATCGTCGATGAACAACCTGGAACTCTAACACGGGCACTAACGTGTTCAGGTCTACACAATGTTGTGTGTGCCTATCCATTTCCAGACGGACGCTAGCAAAGAGCAATAAACACAGTACCAAGTGTTACTTGGGGATCTGTTTTCAAACAGACACAATCAAAAGCGATCACACGCGCTTACATCACGAAAAAAATCCAAAACCCAAAAACGAATACAATTCCTGCCAACAGAAACAGACCAGAACAGCCCTCTAACTGGAACCAGCCAGGCTCACGCAGCGTAACCGGGATCCAGGAAATGAAGTCAGAATGTCTCGGTCCGAGAGGGAAAGTAGTCTTCTCATCAGCCAATCACCTATCCCACTTGCTTCGTTTTTCTTATTTCTGTTGGTTTAAAGAGGTGTCAGTTAACGTGGTTCTGCGCGATGGGGGTGGGCTCTTACCAGAAAGTCAACCAATCGGCATTAACTTGGAGCGGAAGAGACTCTGGTCCCGAAGTTCTTGGTTCCTCTCTATGGTACCAGGGCCGAGAACCGCTAAGACCTTCGGCCTTAAGGATAGGAAGTGACGTAAGGATGGCGGAGGGGCGCGAGGTTTCAAGATGGCGGTGGCTGGGTTGCTGACCGGGAGGCAGAGGTGAAGGCCCCTACGAGGTAAAAGAGGCCGAGAATCGTCCCATCCCCGCCTCCTGCAGCCCCAGGAGCCCAGCAGAAGTGTGAGTGTGCAGGATTGTTCCACTCCGTTCCTCCCTCTTTCCCGACCCTTCTCCGCACCCGCGCGGTTGCCTCGGGGACACCAGGCCCCTCGGCCCCGCTCTTCCTCTCCGCGGTCGGGGTCCCCCGGGTCGGGGGCCGGGGGATCTTGGAGCCAAGGGCGGTGTGGCTTCCAGCGTCTAAGCAGCCGTTCACCCGAGTCCGTTGGCGCCGCCTCCCGCCTGTGCGCGTTGACCGGCTGCTTTAGCTTTGACGTCTTGTCCCTCGAGTCAGGGTCAACCGTCGCTATGGTTTCGGCAGTTGCTGCTGCTGTTGCTTCTCTTGGTGAACTGGGCTCCGTCCCCCTGCAGCCTCTGCGGTTAAATTTCGTTTCCCCGCCGTTTTGTGGCCCAGTTTGCCGGTCGTTTCTGCGTTTAAACGAAAAGTCGTTTGTGCACACTAAGGCTCCATTGTCTTCCGTAGAAATTCTGTGTAATTTGTATCTGTTCTTTGTTACAGTTGTGAGAGAGGAGGGTCAGAACATGAGCTTGAGGGTAATTGAGAGAGAACAGCAAAAGAGATACAAAGCATCAAAGATAGGAGAGCCTATGTTTCTACTAATTTTGCTTGTTTCCACCTCCCTTCTCCCCAACTCCCAGTGTTTCCTGTGAAGGAAATCCTGCGCAGGGTAAATTAGTTGCCATTCGAACAGCTCTGAACCATTTAGCCGAAATTATGGCATTTGAACCCTTGCTGAAAGGGCACTAACGAACTTTTCTGACAAAATCTTCCTACGAGGAAGAAGGGGAGGTACAGTTGATTGTACAGGCTACTAAAAATTCTGCTTCATGATCTTCCTTTCCCACCCTTAAAAATCTCCTTTCAAAAGGAAGTAAATTTGGCAACTTTATCATTGGGAAAGGTAAACATTAAAAAGTTAAACCTTGATTGGAACAAGAAAACGAAGTAATGTGTCTCAGATTAGTAAAAGTCTTGACTTGCAAAATATTTTCCCTCAAACACGACCATCCCTTTCAGTTTACCTTTAAACGCACAAATCAAGAGTCAAGTGGGTACAGTAGGAAAATGTGTGTCTTGACATTTTTGGACACTCCTTTATATAATCCTTTCGTTTTTAATATTTGCACCTTTATGTCTTAAGCTCTTGAGAGTCAAGAATTCTATCTGAATTATAGAAGGAAAGCTGAATTAAATAGCCCTAAATTAATGAGTTTTTACTGTCTTAAAGATGTTGGGAATAAATGGCCAAGAAAAACCACGGAGAGAGGCAAGGCGGAGCTTTGTTGTTTCCAACCCACATCATTACCTCCATTCTCTTTCACCCTAAATATAAACAAAGGGAGGGTGTGGGGAAAGGACTAAAGGTTTTTCATATGCATGATTTGTCCCATATTTTTGAGGCATATTCTGATTTTCTTCACTTGACAGGGTCGGTCTGTGATCCATTTTAAAAGGTTAATAATCAAAGGAATGTTTCTTTTCAAGAGGTTGGTAGACATTTTGTAAATAGAGGAAAAATAAGCTATTTCTTTGTCTTTGCAGTTTTGTTTTTTAGTTTTTTATGAATAAGTAAATCACACAAGTTGTCAACATGGGACGGAGATCTACATCATCCACCAAGAGTGGAAAATTTATGAACCCTACAGACCAAGCCCGTAAGTGTCCTTTAGTATGGAATGATAAAGAAGAGGAGTAATAAAATTGCAGACATTAGAGAGTCTATTATGCCTCAATTATAAAATCAGCTGTGCTAGGAGTCAGTTGTATAAAGTTATCCAGTGTTCTTGTGGGCACATGATGAAAATTAAACATGCAAAAAAATTAGTGCCTATATTTTTTTAAGTTTATTTATTTATTTTGAGAGAGTGTGTGCGTGATCAGGGGGAGGGGCAGAGAGAGAGAGAATCCCAGACAGGCTCTGCACTGTCAGCGCAGAGCCTGACATGGGGCTTAAACCCAGGAACCACGAGACCACGGTCTGAACCGAAACCAAGAGTCAGAGGCTTAACCTACAGAGCCACCCAGTACCCACATTTTTAACTTGATTGACTTGCAAAGCGAAATTGGCTTAAAATTTTCTTCAGGTATGCGAAATTTTGAACAAATTAGTTTTGTAAATTTGTTTAATATTTTATGACATCTTTTTCTTTTGGATTCATAGTTTTTTTTTTTAATGTTTTATTTATTTCTAGGAGAGAGAGAGAGACAGCGTGAGCAGGGGAGGGTCAGAGAGAGAGGGAGACACAGACTCTGAAACAGGCTCCAGGCGCTGAGCTGGCAGTCAGCACAGAGCCCGATGCGGGGCTCGAACCCACGAACCGCGAGATCGTGACCTAAGCGAAAGTCGGACGTTTAACCGACTAAGCCACCCAGGCGCCCCAAGATTCATAGTTATTTTTTAAGAAGCTTAAAACAAAAACTTCTTGGGACGTTTTTGGTTGACATAATTGAAGAGTGCTGTTGGCATCTAGTGGGTGGAGGTCACAGATGCTGCTAAATATTCTGCATGCACAGGACAGCCTCCCACAATAGGAATCGGTATTAAGTCGGAGAGAATGTTAGTGTTCAAGATTTGAAAGTTTTATATTTTCTCTCTCTCTAAAGGAAAAGAAGCCCGGAAGAGAGAATTAAAGAAGGTATGATTTCAGAAGCATCCTATGAGCCAATAAGTGGTGTTTGGCACATCTTACTGTTTGGGTTTAGTGGATTTCAAAACAACATTCACAATTATTTGTCAGAAAAGATACTTTACGTTGCTTATAACAAACCATAAAATTTACTAAGCCAAAATACCGTATTTGGAAACTGAACTGAAAAAACTTTGCAGATAAGCTCACGATGAGTTATCGTAACATTGTCTGTGTGATTATCTTTCCCACTGAGTTAAGTAAATATCTTTGAAAGGAATTTCTTTTTGCTCTTAAAGCATACTGCTCTGTGAAAAGCTACTGAATTAGTGAATGGAAATAAATATGATTCTAAATTGTTTTGTGGGTTCCTTTTTGTCATTTGGTAGCTGTTGGCTTTGTGGTAAAGTGTTTTCCCAGAATAAGAAAGTACTTACTTTTTAGTATCATGCCTTAACACATTGAGAGAATGCAGATTTTTAACCGTTTTTAATTAGGTTTTCTTATTTCATTGTTTAGTATCAAATCTGCAAGTTTTTTCTCTAATATATAATTCTAGAATTAAGCTTAAAAAACTAAGAATTTTTAAGTAATTGCTAAAAACCTCACAAAATTCAAGGAAATACTTGCCTAAGAAAGCACACATAGTAAATAATGTTTATCTCTCTTTGTCTGAAGTTGAAACATTTTTGAGAGCAAAAAATTACATAGCTTTGGTTATGGTGGTTGAAATGAGATCAGAAACGAAGGAGAAGTTCAGCTTCATTTTAAATATGAAATGAATAGATTCTTGATGCAAATTGAAATAAAAACTCCTATGAGTGTCCAGTTTCTTGACATAGTGCTCATTTGTGTCTCTAAGAACAAAAAACAGCGCATGATGGTACGAGCTGCAGTTTTAAAGATGAAGGATCCCAAACAGATTATCCGGGACATGGAGAAATTGGATGAAATGGGTAAGAATTTATAAAAAGGCTAGATTTCATAGCAGGGATAACAAACAGTCTTCTACATAGAGGCAGATAAGCAGATGGTAATGAGTAAAGCAGCACAGCCAAGAGAAAAACAAAAGCATAATTGCATTTGACAGGCTTAGTTTTAGTGTCAGGAAGACAAAATGGAGGGGTGGGGAGCGATATGCACACTGAAGATCTTATCTAGAGTAAGATGAATGCCATTATTTAGCTTGAACTAATTGTTACCAAAGTAATGAAAGCCTATTTTGACCAGTGCATTTTTCTAGAGAAGACTGAATTCTGGTTTTTGAAATCTGGAGGTTTTTGTGTGTTTTGGTTTTTAATGTTGGCAACTACCATGTAAATCTAAATATTACATCACCATGAATTTATCAGTTTCCCATTTTTCCCAATGAGATCAGAGACACTTGACCCACTTAGCAAGGTGGCAGAAGTCATCGAATGCTTAAAATCTAATTTTATAGAATATCGTATTAAGATTTCTCCCTATTTTCACATTTTTTTGAGTAATTTCACTCAGTTTCTTTTTCTTTGTAACTGGAATCACACAAATAACTTATCTTTCCTTGTGTCAAAGTTGCATGAGAATTGTCTGTGTGATGCTGCTGTTGGAAATTTTATCCCAGCCCACAAAGACCCATTTTTTAAATATCAGAACATGGGATTTATTTTTCTGGCTCCTCTACCGTTTTTTCATTGAATTTAATTTTTAGTTTTTAAATTTATATCCAAGTTAGTTAGCATAGAGTGCATTAATGATTTCAGGAGGAGATTCCAGGGATTCATCCCGCACATATAACACCCACTGCTCACCCCAGCAAGTGTCTTCCTTTACTGCCTCTTGCCCATTTAGCCCATCCCCCTACCTCAGACCACCCTCTCAGCAACCCT